AAAACTCAAAATTAGTGGGTTTTTAACACTTATTATGATGGCAATATACAACCAACCCACGCACCCCACATGGCCGTCAAGATTGAAATGAACCCTTGAATCAATTTAATCAGTCTTCGTCAACTTTGTATATTCATCAGAGAGGACTGCTAGCATGTAGCAACATTCTTGCTCCTTTTCTTTCTTTTTTTATTTTTATTTTTATTTTTATTAATAAACATATATTGTATCAAATAAAAAGAATTACATTAAGGGGTCGAACGAAGAAAACCCCACAGGCATCAGCCATATAAAAGTTGATAACAGAGCCTTGAAAACATAAAAGTCAATAACATAATAAATGAACAAAATTATGGTTACAGTAAACCATGGTAGCATAACAAAGTTATAGTTACAGTAACCTTGAAAAGAAAGCTCATCACCCAATTGAAAATATTAGGGGAGTGGTCTAATTTTGAAAATATAGCGCAAGTGCAACAGACCCAAAATTTACTGGGGTTCAACGTAACTGTACTGCCTACTGGGTTAAATCCACTATCAATATAGATGATCTGGTAGAGATTCCTTCGCATTTTTTTGTGTCCGATTTCGCTTCAACATCATGAGAGCGCCGGTGATAGTTTCCCCCGCAATAACCTATTATCGAGACAACATAGATAAATGGTTGTTTCTTGCAAGAAACAACAAATGTCATGTAACGAAACAGGTTTTGTCTGATTCAGATCGGACTCCAAACCACACCCTCCGAAGCTTGATCCAGGGATGGTGCTAATAAAGCATCAAAAGTAATATTTGCGGAACGATTGTTTCTGTATTGATTTCATAGAAATATATACAAGTATTACAATTCAAGAAGAATGGAAACTAAATCAGTAAATACAAGATAACTATCCTAATCATTATTCTAGAATATAAACCAAATCAGAGATAAAATATTAAATGAAAGATCAAACACAGATGCACTGTTGAATAGAATCAATCTAGCTCAATCACTGGTTGTTTCCTTAATATGCCCCCTCAAGATGGAGCTCCCATCGGTGACTCCAATCTTGTGTTGGAGTTGAGCAAAATGATGTGTGGAAAGTGGTTTGGTGAGGCCATCAGCTAATTGGTCAAGAGTGGAGATATGGCTCATTCGAAGAACCTTGTGATCAACTAGTTCTCTGACAAAATGGAGATCAATTGCGATATGCTTCATCCTAGTATGCAGCATCGGATTGCTACTCAGATGTCTAGTACCAAGATTATCACAATAAATTCCAGGACATTCAGAGACAGGATGGCCAAGTTCCTAAAGTAAATGCTTAATCCACACTAATTCAAAAGAGGCAACAACGAGTGCATGATACTCCACCTCGATGGAACTTCGAGCAATACTTTTTTGCTTGCAAGCAAGCCAAGAAATAGGATTGCTACTGAGAAACACCACATATCCAGTTGTAGAATGATAAGTGTCTTTGTCACCAGCCCAATCTAAATCAGAAAAAGCATGTAAAGGAGATATGGGTTACCGACGGAGAAGAAGATCATGAAATAAAGAACCTTTTAGATATCACAAAATTCGCTTTGCAGCTTGCTAATGAACATCAAACGGAGCATGAAGAATTTGAGATAGCTTGTTAACAACAAAGGAGATATCCGGCCGAGTGATACCAAGATATTGCAAAGAACCAACGAGTTGACGATATGGCTGAGCATCAGAGAGCTGATTACCTTGATGTAAGTGCAAAGATACAGTTGCCATGGGAGATTGCACGGGCTTAGCATCACTCATGCCAAACTTGACCAAAAGCTCACGAATGTATTGAGCTTGTGAGAGAAAAAGACCAGCATTAGTAAAGATAACATTCACACCAAGAAAATAATTAAGGCAGCCCAAATCTTTGATGGAGAAGGTGGCACCCAGTAAGGAAATAATTGATTCAACTAACTTCTCGGTGCTGCCCGTCACAATAATATCATCAACATAAATTAAAAAATAAACCCATTCTGACTGATAATGAAAAATAAACAAGGAAGAGTTTGACTGTGAGTTCACCAAGCCATTCTGAAGTAGAAAACTTTTGAGCTCTTTGTACCAAGTATGAAGGGCTTGTTTGAGGCCATAGATGGACTTTCAAAGGCGGCAAACATGCTGGGGTTGAGAGCTATCAACAAAACCTAGTGGTTGCTCCATAAACAATTCCTCTTCCAACTTCCCATGCAAAAATGCATTATTAACATGTACCTGACGACCATGCCAATTTTTATTGACAGCTAATGAAAGTACGATGCGTATAGTTGTGGGTTTGATCATCGGACTAAAGGTATTAAAGTAATCTGACCCAGGTCGTTGGTGAAATCCTTTAGCCACAAGATGTGCTTTGTACCTTTCAATACCCCCTGCCTTATTTCTTTTGACACGGAACACCCACTTGCAGCTAATGACATTCTTAATATTAGTGCGAGGAACAAGTTCCCAAGTACCCTGTCTAACCAAGGCATTAAACTCATTAGACATGGCCTAACGCCATTAAGGATTTTTCAAGGCTTGACTAACACAAGTGGGTGCAATCGAACTGTCAAGAGCGTGCTTTGTGGCAAGGAATAAGGTTCGAGGTTTAAAGATATTGTTTTAGGAACGTGTGGTCATATTGTGAGTTTGTGTAGGTCCATTGGGAGGAGGAACAGAGGTTGTGTGTGAGGAAGAGTGATTGGTTGAGGTAGCAGATGTATTGGAATGAGATGAGGTGGAGGTTGCCAAAGAGTCAGTTGCTGTAGGTGGGCTCGATATGGAATGGGCCAAGGTGGAAGTGCTAAAGGCAAGTTGGGTTGGGGATGAAGGGCATAAAGGTGTGTGGCTAGGGTTCGTATCGGTTGTTGGGTGAGAAGGCACATGGGTTTTAGATGGAGAGGGCAAGTGGGTTGAACTTTGTATCATAGTTCGAATGAAAGAAGAAGGATGAGTGATGGACGAACTGACCTGATTGTCATGTGGATGGGCCGCACCATGAGAGCATGCTTGAGGGCTAATCGTACCTGATGGAGAGATAACTAATTTGGACAGACTATCATAGGATTGAGTGCCACCATCCAAAGCAAGAGTGTGAGATCTTTTGTAGAAAAAATCATGCTCGTTAAAGACAACATATCTTGGGTAAAATAACCTGCCAGATAGAGGATCAAGGCATTTATAACTCATATGATCAATAGAGTAACCGAGAAAAATGCACTTATGAGACCGAGGTTGCAATTTATAAGAGTTATATGGGTGCAACCATGGATAACATGAGCACCCAAAAACTCGAAGTTTGAGGTAATTGGGCTTGATGTGAAATAATTTTTTAAAAGGTGAGCATGAGCCAATAGAACTTGGAATCCTATTGAGTAAATAAACTGCAGTGAGAAAAGCATGACTCCAAAATCTTAAAGGAAGAGAAGCAGTTTGCAAAAGAGTTAAACCAGTTTCAATGATATGTCCATTTCGATGCTCGCTTATTCCATTTGATTCTGGTGTGTAGGGGTGCGATGAAGTGAGAAATTCCCTTATGTTGAAACTAGTCTTATAAGGTAATGTACTCACTGCCACCATCAGAATAAAAAGATTTAATTTTCGTTCCAAATTGATTTTTTATAAGAACATGAAATTTTTGAAAAATTGGTGTAACATTAGATTTTCTCTTAATAGAAAAAAGCCATACATAACGACTAAATAAATCAACAAAGATTACGTAATAAAGGAAACCATCCATAGAAGGCAATAAGGCAGGGCCCCACACATCAAAATATATTATTTCTAAAGGTTTATTACTAGAAATAGATGATTCACCAAAAGGTAATTTATGACTCTTTGCACACAAGTAAGACTCACATAAAGAAACTCTAGATAGATCTAAAATAGGTAACTTAGCATGATGAAAAATTTTATTTAGAGTTTTGGATGAAGGATGACCCAATCTCGCATGCCAATCCATAATAGATGCTCTTTCACCAACCATTGCCATTGGACCCATCTTAAGTGGACCTTGGACGGCTAAGCGGTACACGCCATGATGATTGTGCCTTCAAAGAAGCGTCACTTCCGTGGTGCGATCCTTCACAATAAAAGAATCAAGATGAAATTCTATTAAGGCATTATAATTTTGGCATAATTTGGAAACAAAAATTAAATTTTTGGAAGCTGTTGGAACACATAGTATATGTTTCAAGAGTAAAGGTTTTGTTTTGGTAGAAATTGTGGATTGTCCCACATGTCAAATAGTCAAACTTGATCCATCTCCAATAAGCAATTCTTCTAGCCCATTATATTCTCAGTGTAATGCAAGATTAGACAAGTTTGGGGTAACATGATTGGATGCACCAGAATCGATCCACCATTCATTGTTTGCCTTGCGAGATGTGGATGTAAAATTTGCCACATGTACATGATTCCTCAGATCTGGACAATTCTTGGCAAAATGGCCAAACCCATTACATAATTGACAGGCAAAACTATTACGATTATTGTACCTGTTGGTTCAATTTCGGCGACCACCTTTAGCACGACTGCCCCTGTTTCCACGGTTTACTAGACCATGAAGTTGCTAATTGGGATTGCCAATATTTGAGCCATTAAAAGGCTGTTGGCTAGTTGTGGAAGTTCTAGTGAAGTGATTAGAATGAGGCCCATGAGGATTGAAGGAGGTTGGCTGCATGCTGCTCATAGCATTTTGATATCCACCACTAAACTTGGAATTAGCACCAACAAATTGTGCCGTGAGTGGAGCTTGCAATTCTTGGCGAGAGTCTTCTCGTTGTAGAGACTCTTCATAAGCTAGCAATCTGTCTTGCAAATTTTCAAAAGACAGTGGTGGTCCATCTCGAGCCCGTATAAAGGCCTTGAACTCTCGATACTCTGATCCTAGACCATTCAAAAAGTGAACTTGTAGTGTTGAATTAGAAAGAGGTATTTTCTCTGCAAGGCTAATACGATCAATAAGCTCTTTGGCCGTGCGCAAATAATTGGTGATTGCTTTACCTTCACACTTGAGATTCGACAATCGCTCCTTGAGTGCCACAATTCTAGTTTGAGAATTATTTGCATAGAGTCTTTCCAACACAATCCATGCTTCATGGGCAGTTTCAGTGTTGGCCACGTATGGGTGAATAGATTCAGCAATTGAAGTCATAATTGCATGCTGAATGGACTGATCTTGTCTCACCCAAACATCATAGGGTGAATCTGGAGTGTGGTCTATTGGTGGGCATGGCCTTGTTCCCAATAGAAAATCATACAGTCGATAGACTTTGAGTAGTGAGATAAATTGCCTACTCTAACTTGAATAATTATCAATGATGAATTTCATCAGAAATTGAACAGAGATGTTGAAGGTGATGACATTGGTTGGATTAGTGTTTGGGTTTCCAACAGTTGTAGGGGTTATGGCTGCTGGAGTGGTGATTGTAGTCTTGCTTGCGTTGATTGAGGGGTCTGATCAGCCATGGTTTCAAGGATCGGAATGCTCTGATACCACTAATAAAGCATCAAAAGTAATATTTGCGGAATGATCATTTCTGTATTGATTTCATAAAAATATATACAAGTATTACAATTCAAGAAGAATGGAAACTAAATCAGTAAATACAAGGTAACTATCCTAATCATTATTGCGAAATATAAACCAAATCAGAGATACACTATTAAATGAAAGATCAATCACAGATGCACTATTGAATAGAATCAATCTAGCTCAATCACCGATTGTTTCCTTAATAGGTGCACCCTTAATGACTCTTGTGGGATCGAAAGAATTCCAACACCAATGCCTCCAATTGACAAAACTTAGATAGTAAAACTCTTCAAAGATGTCGAGCAATTCCCTGACTTGCAACTTAAATGCCTGAGACGACTCAAATCAATCACACTCGTTGCAAGTGGGTTCAACGGAACCCATCAGTTGGGTTCGACATCCCAAACCTGTTAGGTTTGATGGAACCCAACAAGTAGGTTCGATCAAACCCAACAGCTCTAGGTTGTCGAACCTAGCTATCAGGTTTGATGGAACCCAAATTTTGCTGGGTTCAACCTCGGCAAGAGCAAAGGGGAGGAAGGAGGGCAAAGAAGATGGGGGATAATAATGTAATTTTATTATTTTTATTTCTTTTTATTTATTAATTTTGTAAAAATAGTATTAATCTGATTT